ACGGTTATCCCATCCACAATAACTTAACAAGCACTACACACGATCACTTACTCAACTACAAAGTTGACTTAGATGTTGGTGGAAGACAAAATTCCTACGAGACTATCGAAGTCACAACAGAAAACGTAACTGACAAATGGCTACCGGAGAAAAACAGATACTTTGTCAGGAAAGTCTTGAAACGTACCACCAAAAAGACCGAGCAAGAGGCAGCATACAAATTCAACTTTGACCGTCCAAAGTAYTTGAACTTCTACAATGAAAAAAAGAAAAACAAAATGGGTGTGTCAAAAGGATACAGAATCCAGCTGAATGGTATCATGAAGCAGTTGTATCCAGAAGACTGGATAATGGTACCGATGATAAGTTGGTCTCTGTATCAGTTGGCTGTTACMAGGTACGATTTTTGCAATTGATGATACTAAGTGCATGGTATTGTGGGGAGGGAGTGCGGAGAGACACTGATGGAAGTTTACTACGCTTTAGCTAAATTSCTTTTTTTAAAAAGGTACAAAGACAGCGAAAGACAAAGCTCTTCGCAGTACAACCAAAACTCTCCGAGCGATCCTCACGTYGATTTCAGAACATTTCTAGYAGACAACGAATCTATTGTCAATGAAGATCTTGTTGCTTGGGTAACCACTGGAATGATGCACATCCCTCATTCTGAGGATATTCCCAACACAGCCACGGTTGGAAGTWCAGCAGGGTTTTATCTTCGTCCTTTTAACTACTTTGATGAGGATCCATCGATGGGTTCGAGTAATGCCATCTTGATAACACCCACTGACAAGAACTACAGTCCTTCATTCCAACGTTTTGGTACCCCGACTGGTCCTGTCTGTGTTCCTAAGGAATATCCTGTTACTTTTGATGGTCGAAACAACAAATAACGATGAACGGTTTGAATCTTTACCCAAAAGTGCATGAAACCTATTACTTTTAAATTGTTGTTTCTACGTCATCATGAGCTCTGTACGCCATTACTATGGTCCAGGGAGACATGGGGCTGAAGGAAAGAAGCGCGCTAGGGTKTACTATAATCCATGCGTTTTTTCTACGAGAACGCCTCACTTTTTTTCTAGTAATTCAAACATATGTCAAAAAATAAAATAAAAGTGAGTTAAGTCGATGRCGTCATGGACTGTAAAAGTCTTTACCAAATTTAAGGAAAATATATGAATGATTTTGTAATTCCTATAGGTTCTTTTAGGCCTATCTACTATAGGTCACCTAGGTTTAACTCCTAGAGTGATCGCACTTAATCCGTGCAACTGTATAAACTAAATAGTTCTATTTAGTTGTATTTAGWAATCGTAGTAACTTTGAATAAATCGGCTATGAAGATGCTACAAGCATTCAGTTYAGGTATCATTGTGCTGGATTTAAYAGCGCAAYATCTAAGCTTACATAATACATATTGAAACGAACGTTTTTGTACCCGGTACCCAGAAACGATCGATTTTCAAAATACTAAATGCCATGCAGGTTTGATTTCATCAAAATTACACCCTTGAAAAAGTCTTTTTACTGTGGTGAATTCTATCAGCTTTAACTTTCCGGCCAGGATTGTTAAACGATTGGATTGTGAATACAGTCGCATACAGGCTCTCAGCACAGAATATCGACCCCCACACGATCCAATGTGCA